GACGCGAATGCTCATACATTCGCGCAGCCGAATTTATCGGTCTAACTAAAAGCACATTACTAAAATGTTTCGAAATACTGGTAGCTCGGGTTGATGAATCAATTGTTCATTTGTTCTCCGAGCTAGGCGGTTTTCTCGCAAACGTTTCACCACCATGCGAGGTGGCATCCTCAGTGCAGTGATATATAGCGTACAAGCTTACTAAATGAATTCTCCCTCCATGATCGACCTGCAAGTGACTTTGAACGTGGCAGTGTCGATTTAGGTCCCGTGACCTCTACCCACTTTCCCCAAGGCTAAAGTCGGCGCCCGAGTTGTTCTGCCTCAAACCGCGTGGCAAAAGGTTCTTTATTTCTTTCTGTCGTAGTGGTTCGTATATTGAATCGATGTCCACGCGCATGTTGATTGAATGTTTCGTTGAGAACCAGGCTTCCAAGAATTCTCTTTCTTTTCTCGTTTCACCCCGTGCCAGGACTTCTGCTTTGCTCCAATCGAAGCTATGTCCTTCTTCATCTACGTGCATTGAAACTATCGACGATGCATAATGCTTTATACAGGCTCTCTTATGTTCTTGTATCCTTGTTACCAATTTTCTTCCCGTTTGGCCAACATAATCCTTTTCACAATCTCGGCAAGGTATTTTGTATACCACATTGCGTTGTTCATGTGCCTGCAGTTTTTCTTTTGGTTTTGAAAGCGTTTTTCTCAGCGTGGCAGTTGGTTTGTGTGCTACGATGAGATGATGCTGTTTGAATAGTCTAGCTGCCATTTCCGATATGTTCTTCATATAAGGCAGAACAACCCGTTTCTCCGTTGTCGTTGTTGTTGTGTTTGTTGTTGCCGCTGCTGCTGTTGTTGTTGTTGTTGTAGGCTGTATGTTGACGTTGTGTTGGTGCAGACACCTTCGGATGAAGTTTCGTGGGTATCCGTTGAGTTGGAAACATTTAAGTAGGTGTTTTTCTTCCATTTGCTTTGCTTCTGTGGTACTACAGTGTGTTTGCACTCTGCGAAACAGTGTCCGCACACAGCTTACTTTGTGGCATTTCGGGTGGTTGCTGTTAAAGTTCAGAATTTGGTCTGTGTGTGTGCCTTTTCTGTAGACCGATGTTTGAAGCTCGCCTTCCATAGTTCTTGTTACTAATACATCCAAGAAAGGGAGCTGCCTTTCCTTCTCCAGTTCCATTGTAAACTGGATCCCTTCCATGGCGTTATTCAATAGCTGTTGTGCGACTGTTATTTGATTGCGTCTGAGTATCACAAAAGTGTCGTCCACATACCGAACCCACAGTTTCGGATTGATTAGTGGTAGTACCTCCTCCTCCAATTTCTGCATAACCATCTCTGCGATGAGCCCTGACACAGGTGATCCCATTGGTGCGCCTTTCAATTGCTCGTAAATCTTTCCATTGAATGAGAAGTGAGTCGACAAACACAAGTGGAGTAGTTTACATACATTTTCGGTCGTCATTTTACCGATTTGTTGTTCACTGACCTTCAGCCGTTCTGTGATGACCGCTATTGCTGTCTGCAAGTTGACAGACGTGAAGAGTGCGGTCACGTCGAATGATATCATTGTTTCATCATTATCTAATCGCAGGTCTTTGATCTTTTGCAGAAACTGCTGAGCATTGGTTATGGAATATGGCGATCCATAGGTTAAATGTTTGAGGCGTCTCCACATTTCTTTCGCCAGGTTGTAGGTGGGTGTTCCAGGGAGAGACACGATAGGCCGCAACGGTGCATTCTCTTTGTGTACCTTTGGGAGTCCGTAGAATTGCGCGATGTTCGAGTCGCGGGCTCTCATCCTGTCGCGCTCTTCTTTCGTGATTTGCTTCAATTCCTGAAGTTGCTTCAATGTTTTGTTTACTTTGCTTGTCAGCTGCGAAGTTGGATCGGTGTCGATGCACCTGTAGGTTGCTGTATCATTCAAGAGACGTGTAGCCTTCTCAATGTAATCCTCTCTATTCATTATGACACTCATTCGTCCCTTGTCAGCTGGTAGGATAATGATTGTTTCATCAGACTTCAGGGTATTCATTGCCTCTTTTTCTTGCTTGGTTAAGGCGTTGTATTGCTTGTTGTGCGTTATAGCAGGAACAATTGTGTGTCTTATTTGTTTCTGAGTCTCTTCATCTAATCCATTGGATTGTAGGACGCTTTCGAATGCTGCTAAGAAGTCGGTAGCCGTTGCATCTCTGTAGTTGTAATTTAATCCCTTGATGAGGACTTGCTTTTCGGCATCGTTGATTGGTCGGTTGGAAAGATTTCTAATCCAGCCGTCACTGATATTTTCATCTTTAGGAGACGTCAACTTTGACAACTTATCGAGAAGCGCATTATGCTTTTTCGTCCTGGTGTTTGTTACCCGACGTTGTATTGCAGCTTCTAGTTGTTCTGTAAATTGTTGGCCAACGACTTGAAGGCAGCTAGACCGATGTTCGTTCATACTTCTGTCATATTTTCTGAGACGATTGTGGGCGTCGGTGATCATTAAGCGTATCATACGCCTCCCGAATTGTCGAGCAGCAGTCCACGCTTGAGGGTGATCAATCGGCGGTCTGTATCTGATACTGCGAGGAAGAATGTCTTTTCTCAGACATTCATGAAGAAAGAAGAGCTGCTGTCTTGTAGAGGCTTGTCTACAAGCGAAGTCCTCCCAACGGCGAGCACATCGGAGCGCTGAACGCCCGAAGTTGTTTAAAATGTTTCGAAATACTGGTAGCTCGGGTTGATGAATCAATTGTTCATTTGTTCTCCGAGCTAGGCGGTTTTCTCGCAAACGTTTCACCACCATGCGAGGTGGCATCCTCAGTGCAGTGATATATAGCGTACAAGCTTACTAAATGAATTCTCCCTCCATGATCGACCTGCAAGTGACTTTGAACGTGGCAGTGTCGATTTAGGTCCCGTGACCTCTACCCACTTTCCCCAAGGCTAAAGTCGGCGCCCGAGTTGTTCTGCCTCAAACCGCGTGGCAAAAGGTTCTTTATTTCTTTCTGTCGTAGTGGTTCGTATATTGAATCGATGTCCACGCACATGTTGATTGAATTATTCGCTGAGAACCAGGCTTCCAAGAATTCTCTTTCTTTTCTCGTTTCACCCCATGCCAGGACTTCTGCTTTGCTCCAATCGAAGCTATGTCCTTCTTCATCTACGTGCATTGAAACTATCGACGATGCATAATGCTTTATACAGGCTCCCTTATGTTCTTGTATCCTTGTTACAAATTTTCGTTTTTTTTCTTCTTCACGTCTGTCAACTTGCAGACAGCAATAGCGGTCATCACGGAACGGCTGAAGGTCAGTGAACAACAAATCGGCAAAATGACGACCGAAAATGTATGTAAACTACTCCACTTGTGTTTGTCGACCCACTTCTCATTCAATGGAAAGATTTACGAGCAATTGAAAGGCGCACCAATGGGATCACCTGTGTCAGGGCTCATCGCAGAGATGGCTATGCAGAAATTGGAGGAGGAGGTACTACCACTCATCAATCCGAAACTGTGGGTTCGGTATGTGGACGACACTTTTGTGATAATCAGACACAACCAAATAACAGTCGCACAACAGCTATTGAATAACGCCATGGAAGGGATCCAATTTACAATGGAACTGGAGAAGGAAAGGCAGCTCCCTTTTTTGGATGTATTAGTAACAAGAACTATGGAAGGCGAGCTGCAAACATCGGTCTACAGAAAAGGCACACACACAGACCAAATTCTGAACTTTAACAGCAACCACCCGAAATGCCACAAAGTAAGCTGTGTGCGGACACTGTTTCGCAGAGTGCAAACACACTGTAGTACCACAGAAGCAAAACTAAAGGAAGAAAAACACCTACTTAAATGTTTCCAACTCAACGGATACCCACGAAGCTTCATCCGAAGGTGTCTGAATCACAACAACGTCAACATACAGCCTACAACAACAACAACAGCAGCAGCGGCAACAACAAACACAACAACAACGACAACGGAGAAACGGGTTGTTCTGCCTTATATGAAGAACATATCGGAAATGGCAGCTAGACTACTCAAACAGCATCATCTCATCGTAGCACACAAACCAACTGCCACGCTGAGAAAAACGCTTTCAAAACCAAAAGAAAAACTGCAGGCACATGAACAACGCAATGTGGTATACAAAATACCTTGCCGAGATTGTGAAAAGGATTATGTTGGCCAAACGGGAAGAAAATTGGTAACAAGGATACAAGAACATAAGAGAGCCTGTATAAAGCATTATGCATCGTCGATAGTTTCAATGCACGTAGATGAAGAAGGACATAGCTTCGATTGGAGCAAAGCAGAAGTCCTGGCACGGGGTGAAACAAGAAAAGAAAGAGAATTCTTGGAAGCTTGGTTCTCAACGAAACATTCAATCAACATGCGCGTGGACATCGATTCAATATACGAACCACTACGACAGAAAGAAATAAAGAACCTTTTGTCACGCGGTTTGAGGCAGAACAACTCGGGCGCCGACTTTAGCCTTGGGGAAAGTGGGTAGAGGTCACGGGACCTAAATCGACACTGCCACGTTCGAAGTCACCTGCAGGTCGATCATGGAGGGAGGATTCATTTAGTAAGCTAGTACGCTACATATCACTGCACTGAGGATGCCACCTCGCATGGTGGTGAAACGTTTGCGAGAAAACCGCCAAGCTCGGAGAACAAATGAACCATTGATTCATCAACCCGAGCTACCGGTATTTCGAAACATTTTAAACAACTACGGGCGTTCAGCGCTCCGATGTGCTCGCCGTTGGGAGGACTTCGCTTGTAGACAAGCCTCTACAAGACAGCAGCTCTTCTTTCTTCATGAATGTCTGAGGAAAGACATTCTTCCTCGCAGTATCAGATACAGACCGCCGATTGATCACCCTCAAGCGTGGACTGCTGCTCGACAATTCGGGAGGCGTATGATACGCTTAATGATCACCGACGCTCACAATCGTCTCAGAAAATATGACAGAAGTATGAACGAACATCGGTCTAGCTGCCTTCAAGTCGTTGGACAACAATTAACAGAACAACTAGAAGCTGCAATAGAACATCGGGTAGCAAACACCAGGACAAAAAAGCATAATGCGCTTCTCGATAAGTTATCAAAGTTGACGTCTCCTAAAGATGAAAATATCAGTGACGGCTGGATTAGAAATCTTTCCAACCGACCAATCAGCGATGCCGAAAAGCAAGTCCTCATCAAGGGATTAAACTACAACTACAGAGATGCAACGGCTACCGACTTCTTAGCAGCATTCGAAAGCGTCCTACAATCCAATGGATTAGACGAAGAGACTCAGAAGCAAATAAGACACACAATTGTTCCTGCTATAACGCACAACAAGCAATACAACGCCTTAACCAGACAAGAAAAAGAGGCAATGAATACCCTGAAGTCTGATGAAACAATCATTATCCTACCAGCTGACAAGGGACGAATGAGTGTCATAATGAATAGAGAGGATTACATTGAGAAGGCTACACGTCTCTTGAATGATACAACAACCTACAGGTGCATCGACACCGATCCAACTTCGCAGCTGACAAACAAAGTAAACAAAACATTGAAGCAACTTCAGGAATTGAAGCAAATCACGAAAGAAGAGCGCGAGAGGATGAGAGCCCGCGACTCGAACATCGCGCAATTCTACGGACTCCCAAAGGTGCACAAAGATAATGCACCGTTGCGGCCTATCGTGTCTCTCCCTGGAACACCCACCTACAACCTGGCGAAAGAAATGTGGAGACGCCTCAAACATTTAACCTATGGATCGCAATATTCCATAACCAATGCCCAGCAGTTTCTGCAAAAGATCAAAGACCTGCGATTAGATAATGATGAAACAATGATATCATTCGACGTGACTGCACTCTTCACGTCTGTCAACTTGCAGACAGCAATAGCGGTCATCACGGAACGGCTGAAGGTCAGTGAACAACAAATCGGCAAAATGACGACCGAAAATGTATGTAAACTACTCCACTTGTGTTTGTCGACCCACTTCTCATTCAATGGAAAGATTTACGAGCAATTGAAAGGCGCACCAATGGGATCACCTGTGTCAGGGCTCATCGCAGAGATGGCTATGCAGAAATTGGAGGAGGAGGTACTACCACTCATCAATCCGAAACTGTGGGTTCGGTATGTGGACGACACTTTTGTGATAATCAGACGCAACCAAATAACAGTCGCACAACAGCTATTGAATAACGCCATGGAAGGGATCCAATTTACAATGGAACTGGAGAAGGAAAGGCAGCTCCCTTTCTTGGATGTATTAGTAACAAGAACTATGGAAGGCGAGCTGCAAACATCGGTCTACAGAAAAGGCACACACACAGACCAAATTCTGAACTTTAACAGCAACCACCCGAAATGCCACAAAGTAAGCTGTGTGCGGACACTGTTTCGCAGAGTGCAAACACACTGTAGTACCACAGAAGCAAAGCAAATGGAAGAAAAACACCTACTTAAATGTTTCCAACTCAACGGATACCCACGAAGCTTCATCCGAAGGTGTCTGAATCACAACAACGTCAACATACAGCCTACAACAACAACAACAGCAGCAGCGGCAACAACAAACACAACAACAACGACAACGGAGAAACGGGTTGTTCTGCCTTATATGAAGAACATATCGGAAATGGCAGCCAGACTACTCAAACAGCATCATCTCATCGTAGCACACAAACCAACTGCCACGTTGAGAAAAACCCTTTCAAAACCAAAAGAAAAACTGCGGGCACATGAACAACGCAATGTGGTATACAAAATACCTTGCCGAGATTGCGAAAGGGATTATGTTGGCCAAACGGGAAGAAAATTGGTAACAAGGATACAAGAACATAAGAGAGCCTGTGTAAAGCATTATGCATCGTCGCTAGTTTCAATACATGTAGATGAAGAAGGACATAGCTTCGATTGGAGCAAAGCAGAAGTCCTGGCACGGGGTGAAACAAGAAAAGAAAGAGAATTCTTGGAAGCTTGGTTCTCAACGAAACATTCAATCAACATGCGTGTGGACATCGATTCAATATACGAACCACTACGACAGAAAGAAAGAAAGAACCTTTTGTCACGCGTTTGAGGCAGAACAAATCGGGCGCCGACTTTAGCCTTGGGGAAAGTGGGTAGAGGTCACGAGACCTAAAATCGACACTGCCACGTTCGAAGTCACCTGCAGGTCGATCATGGAGGGAGGATTCATTTAGTAAGCTAGTACGCTACATATCACTGCACTGAGGATGCCACCTCGCATGGTGGTGAAACGTTTGCGAGAAAACCGCCAAGCTCGGAGAACAAATGAACCATTGATTCATCAACCCGAGCTACCGGTATTTCGAATCATTTTAAACAACTACGGGCGTTCAGCGCTCCGATCTGCTCGCCGTTGGGAGGACTTCGCTTGTAGACAAGCCTCTACAAGACAGCAGCTCTTCTTTCTTCATGAATGTCTGAGGAAAGACATTCTTCCTCGCAGTATCCGATACAGACCGCCGATTGATCACCCTCAAGCGTGGACTGCTGCTCGACAATTCGGGAGGCGTATGATACGCTTAATGATCACCGATGCTCACAATCGTCTCAGAAAATATGACAGAAGTATGAACGAACATCGGTCTAGCTGCCTTCAAGTCGTTGGACAACAATTAACAGAACAACTAGAAACTGCAATACAATATCGGGTAGCAAACACCAGGACGAAAAAGCATAATGCGCTTCTCGATAAGTTATCAAAATTGACGTCTCCTAAAGATGAAAATATCAGTGACGGCTGGATTAGAAATCTTTCCAACCGACCAATCAGCGATGCCGAAAAGCAAGTCCTCATCAAGGGATTAAACTACAACTACAGAGATGCAAAGGCTACCGACTTCTTAGCAGCATTCGAAAGCGCCCTACAATCCAATGGATTAGACGAAGAGACTCAGAAGCAAATAAGACACACAATTGTTCCTGCTATAACGCACAACAAGCAATACAACGCCTTAACCAGACAAGAAAAAGAGGCAATGAATACCCTGAAGTCTGATGAAACAATCATTATCCTACCAGCTGACAAGGGACGAATGAGTGTCATAATGAATAGAGAGGATTACATTGAGAAGGCTACACGTCTCTTGAATGACACAACAACCTACAGGTGCATCGACACCGATCCAACTTCGCAGCTGACAAACAAAGTAAACAAAACATTGAAGCAACTTCAGGAATTGAAGCAAATCACGAAAGAAGAGCGCGAGAGGATGAGAGCCCGCGACTCGAACATCGCGCAATTCTACGGACTCCCAAAGGTGCACAAAGATAATGTACCGTTGCGGCCTATCGTGTCTCTCCCTGGAACACCCACGTACAACCTGGCGAAAGAAATGTGGAGACGCCTCAAACATTTAACCTATGGATCGCAATATTCCATAACCAATGCCCAGCAGTTTCTGCAAAAGATCAAAGACCTGCGAGTAGATAATGATGAAACAATGATATCATTCGACGTGACTGCACTCTTCACGTCTGTCAACTTGCAGACAGCAATAGCGGTCATCACGGAACGGCTGAAGGTCAGTGAACAACAAATCGGCAAAATGACGACCGAAAATGTATGTAAACTACTCCACTTGTGTTTGTCGACCCACTTCTCATTCAATGGAAAGATTTACGAGCAATTGAAAGGCGCACCAATGGGATCACCTGTGTCAGGGCTCATCGCAGAGATGGCTATGCAGAAATTGGAGGAGGAGGTACTACCACTCATCAATCCGAAACTGTGGGTTCGGTATGTGGACGACACTTTTGTGATAATCAGACACAACCAAATAACAGTCGCACAACAGCTATTGAATAACGCCATGGAAGGGATCCAATTTACAATGGAACTGGAGAAGGAAAGGCAGCTCCCTTTTTTGGATGTATTAGTAACAAGAACTATGGAAGGCGAGCTGCAAACATCGGTCTACAGAAAAGGCACACACACAGACCAAATTCTGAACTTTAACAGCAACCACCCGAAATGCCACAAAGTAAGCTGTGTGCGGACACTGTTTCGCAGAGTGCAAACACACTGTAGTACCACAGAAGCAAAACTAAAGGAAGAAAAACACCTACTTAAATGTTTCCAACTCAACGGATACCCACGAAGCTTCATCCGAAGGTGTCTGAATCACAACAACGTCAACATACAGCCTACAACAACAACAACAGCAGCAGCGGCAACAACAAACACAACAACAACGACAACGGAGAAACGGGTTGTTCTGCCTTATATGAAGAACATATCGGAAATGGCAGCCAGACTACTCAAACAGCATCATCTCATCGTAGCACACAAACCAACTGCCACGTTGAGAAAAACCCTTTCAAAACCAAAAGAAAAACTACGGGCACATGAACAACGCAATGTGGTATACAAAATACCTTGCCGAGATTGCGAAAGGGATTATGTTGGCCAAACGGGAAGAAAATTGGTAACAAGGATACAAGAACATAAGAGAGCCTGTGTAAAGCATTATGCATCGTCGCTAGTTTCAATACATGTAGATGAAGAAGGACATAGCTTCGATTGGAGCAAAGCAGAAGTCCTGGCACGGGGTGAAACAAGAAAAGAAAGAGAATTCTTGGAAGCTTGGTTCTCAACGAAACATTCAATCAACATGCGTGTGGACATCGATTCAATATACGAACCACTACGACAGAAAGAAAGAAAGAACCTTTTGTCACGCCGTTTGAGGCAGAACAAATCGGGCGCCGACTTTAGCCTTGGGGAAAGTGGGTAGAGGTCACGAGACCTAAAATCGACACTGCCACGTTCGAAGTCACCTGCAGGTCGATCATGGAGGGAGGATTCATTTAGTAAGCTAGTACGCTACATATCACTGCACTGAGGATGCCACCTCGCATGGTGGTGAAACGTTTGCGAGAAAACCGCCAAGCTCGGAGAACAAATGA